AGGCTTTGGAGCAGATGTGGGATTATAATTTAGAATCATTTAAACAATTGTTCATAAATTATGACCACATTTAGTAAGGAACATCAATTGCTACTGCAGTATATATTTGCTAATCTTTCTAAAATATGAAAGAAACAAAGAGCTTAAGTATTTTTTTTATCTACTGGAGGATCTAGCAAGAAAACATAATACGTTATGGTTTTAAAGCTAAACAGAAGGTGATTGTAAATTCAATTCAAGATATGAATAATAAGTATTGCAAGTTCAAAAGTTTAAAGATAATGTGGTAAAATTTGGCTATTTGTCATGAGATATAAAAACAGTATTATTTCTGGATGGTTGACATCATAGTTAAGATATATCTTGCATTCTTAGGGCACTGTAAGAAACAAGGTTCAAGATTCCCATTTTGCCAAACTCTGCTTTCTATGTTACACAACTAGGAATCAATGAACTTGGCATTCTATAGCCTGCAGGCCATATCCAGCCCTTTGGCTATCCCTGTCCCTGACGGCTGCCCAATTGTTCAGATCTCCACAACTTTTTTGTGCTCCAATTTTGCATATGGCCCCTTGGAAAAATTAATTCCCCACCCCTTTTTAACCCTTTTTATAAACGTATTCCCTACTCCCTTTGGGAGAACCTAGGTCTTGGAACAAATAAAATATTGGGGATTGGCCTTTTGACAAGGATGTCACATAGTAGAGCAATCCATATTTTCATTTTGGTATTATCAGTATAAAAAACATGGAAACCTCTCCCAGTACTTGATTAACATAAGGTCTTTAACATTCCTTCTCCTGCAGACCGTACTCTCCAAATATCTCAAAAGGAATTTTTTTTATAAGTTCCCTGTCTCTACCTTGTAGTGTTGATCAAGCTCAGATTATTATCCGTTATGTCCTCCACTGCCCATTTATAATGAGTTTAAGGGCAAGTTATTAATGGTAGATGAATTGAAGAGCATTGACCTTGAAAAATTGAACTATCTTGTGTTTCCAACTGTAAACAATCAAGTTGCTACTTTTGCTCTACTGTTATTTAAACTTTAAAGAAATGTTTCTTAGTGATAGCTTTGTCTTTTTCTGTTATAACCTTTATAGAATCTAATTCTTTTATTGTTCTTTCTAATAATTTGCAATTTTATTATTATGTTATATGTTATGACGTGTTTACAACAGCAGTCCTATTTACTTACTATTTTACTATGATTCTCAATTGTGGATTTGCTTAATGGAAGAAAAAATTAGTCAAACGTCCTGAATAAAGTAGTACCAGTATTTTAATATCTCTTTTGGCCCCAAATGTAATTGTAGGATTTTTTCCCACTATTATCTGCCTCAATATGGTGAACAAATTCTTATGAATAAATTCATTATAATTATTATGAATTCTCACAAATTTGTAGGTCTTTTAAATTTGTGCCATTTTCCCTTACTCTGGAAATGAGAGTAAACAATATTGATGCCTCTACAGCAGTATCAAGATTTGCTGATTTTTCCTCCTCAAATTGCAAGGCAATCATTTACTTAAGTTAATAGAAGTACATTGATACACTTGTGGTCACCATCTTCCCTGTACCATTTCATTTTATTTTTGCATATCATTTTATTTTTATGTATTTGTAGTTTCCTCACATATCTGTTATTTTTATATGTTTGTGTCTTTTTTCTGCCTCTCCATAATACAGTAGGTAATTCATAGATCTAAAACTTTATTTTAAGCCTTTATTCTGGGTTGATTCAAGCAATTATGGAAAGATTCCATGAAATATGAACATTATACTTGTGGCAAGCACAAACACTGAGAATATGCAGTTAATGTAAATGAAGCGGGCTCTGATAGATGACCACTGGATAACTTTCTATTCACTCTATTCTAAAAAGCAATGCATCCGGTTGGAAAAAGTACAAACTCAGCCAAAATCCTTTTGGTACCTCTAGGAGGCCTCTAAGTTGTCAGAAGAAAGGAACATTCTAATGACATACAGCTTAAAGGTTGGTTAGGTCAAGGGGATCCACATGAGTTAAAAGTTGTCTATCATCAGAAGATGATTTGAGTCTATGCTTCAGTAATCTACAAAAAGAATTATAACTGTTGGCAAAGAATAAAATGAAACAGTAATTAGGAAATGTCAATTAAAAATGATAAATGTATATGACCATATGAATTGCTGAGTTAACAGAATCCTTTGTATAGAAGGGTATAAAACCATTGTACCTAATTTCTGTCTTTGTTCAACGCTTCATGTACAGAGCTTTGAACCTATTGCGCAATATACAAATTGTCTCTGATTAACCCAAAAGTTGTGTTGGTCTTATTAAATCCACAACATTTATGGCACCCCAGATGGGACTAAAAGGCAGAGAACTTTTGTTCTACCAGACAGCCTGCCTCAGCGCGAATCGACACCTTTCCAAGGAAAATCCACTGGCCGGCCATTAGGACTCCTTTGAAGTCCAGGAGATTCAGTGAGGAGGTGCCGTAAACCCGCTGACGAAAACAGGCCAGTCAAGAATCCTTGAAGGTTAATCAGACACAGAGACTCAACATAAATACATAATAAAAAAGAAAGAAAGAAAAAAAAAAAGAAAGAAAGAAAGGAAGGAAGAAAAAGGAAAAGAAAACAGGTAAGTATAAATCAGAGAGTTAAAGTCTCTCTGTTTAGAGGTGCGTACCCTTTAAAGGGGTGAAAGAGTGGGGCCTGATCACCCCCCTGAGAGACCAGGTGGCATCCTGAAGTCTCTGGAATTAAGTATTTAAGTATTGGAATTAAGGAACTAAGTATTGTGTGTAATCTTATGTGTGGTAAGAGAAGAACTAATTGCAGTGTTATAAATTTTCTGATAAACTGACATTCTTAAACAGCCAGAGAACTCTGAAAGAACTGAGAATAAAGAAGAAATTGTTTACTGTTCTTCCCACCTGGGGTTTAGCAGGCAGTAAAAAGGTAAAGCCTGTCTAAATGGGAAAACAGATAATTTGACTTGATCAATTTGGTGTGATTTCTGTTAAATATATATATGTATATATATATAATGATAGTGTGTAAAATTGAATGGAATTGAATTGATTGTGATAGATTTGTGCTTGAGGCTGTGGGAGATGTTTGAGATGATTGTAATGGTTGGTTTGCATGAAGTGGGATTTTGTGTATGTGAAATTGGTTTAAACAAGAAGTCTGATTACAGTACAAATGTGAAAGCCTGTGTGTTGATAAGGTGATAAATTAGAGAAATACTGAATGTATTGCTTTGTTGTAAGAATGCTGAATGGAGGAGGGAAGCGAGGCTTGGTTGCGTGCTGTAAAACATTTTTTCCTCTCCCCCCCCTTTTCTTTTGGAGGAGAGAAACAGTTCCTTTTAACTTTTTTTTCTCCTTTCTCTCACACCCCCACCCCTCCTCCTCTTTCTGCGAAGCCTCTTTCATTAACATATGAAAGCTATGCAGATACATTCTCCTTTCTGCTCTGAATACATTTTGATTTTATTTTCATTTTTTTTCTTTTCTGGCAATTTTTGGAGGTTTAATACGTTTAATTAAACCTGTACTCAAAATCCTGTTGTTCCGCCAGGCTGGGTTAGCAACATAATTTTAAATTGGATGTTTAAAATTTCTGGGGTTTTAAATTGAGCCGAATCCATTTAATATTTTTAATTATTTTAAATTGGTGTTTGTCTTGTTTTTTTAAACAAAATAGGCTGTACACCGCCCTGAGTCCTTCGGGAGAAGGGTGGTATAGAAATAAAATTATTTTTATTCTTATTTTTATTCTATCTCAAAGAAATGATTTTGAAAGATTTTTTGAATCTGACTTGCATTTTCCGGGAGGCAGAGAATTACATTTTGCAGCTAAAGTTACTGCCCTTTTAGGAATTGTTACAGTGATGAGTTAGAAATTACAATATGTAGTAAGAGAGATTCAGTGGCATTTTTGTCTAAAATGTTAGATTCTGCCTCGAGAGTATGCTTGTTTTTGTCCACTTCACAGTGGTAGGTGAAAAGCTCAGACTCCATAAAAGTTGAGAAAAGCAATGGGGAGGGGGGATACTGAGCCATGAGAAGATTCATTTATAATTTCACCCTCACTGAAGTTTAAGCAATTGGACTGTGTGTTTCCGTGTATATGGAGACAGACAGGAAATTAATGCAAGGATGTATCTGAAAAGTGTTGTTCCTTGTTCTTTATAAACAACATTCAAGAGTAAATGAAATGAAGGCATAAGTATAACAATTGCATTAAAGTCCACTTCATTATATTGTATCCACTTCATTATATTGTATTATATTGTAAATCCACTTCATTATATTGTATTGTTCCCATGGGAATTGGGGCTCAGGAGAACAGCAAGGTGTTTTTTTTGTGTGTTTTCTTTTTTTTTTGAAGAGCTGAATTATCACCTAAAGTGGTGACAAGGCTGTTACCAAGAAAGAGAAGATAAAAATCTTACTCACTCTGTAAGTAAAAAGTAAGATTCCCTCCTTTTCAGTTTTGAATATCTTATCTCCCAAATATTACATTTTATTTTTATTTTTGGAGATACTGTCATTATGCCCATATTCCCTTATAAAACCAGTTAAGAAGAGACAGAAATTGTTTCAGCAATATTAATTTTAATTAAATACAAATATTAAGGAATATAGAATTGAAGTAAATTGCATGATAGTTCTGTATGTGTAACATCTTTTTAAAATCTGTAACTAATAATACTTCAGATAATAAACCCCATTTGTTATCAAACTTTGTTCAACTTCAGGAATTATACTTTTATTTTTTTCAATCTACTTCAAGTTATCGTATTCTTAATAATGCAGTTTTATTGGTTTGTCATTGAACTATGCAGCAATAGCTTAAGAGAAAATATAAATTTATTTGGCATAGCAAAATACATTTTGGGTCAGAACAAAAAGTATAAATATATATCTTCATGTCTAATTTTTTATATTTCTGTGTTATTTTGGGATACATACTAAGTTAACCTCATTGAACTTTTCTCCAGGAATTGATGCACTTACAATTGGCGAGTCATTATGCTGCTCCACCTGTGTAGTGTTAAGGTCAGTGTGTTTTTCTGATTATAAAAACCCATTCATGTCATTCCATTATAAATCATAACCATTCATAATGGAATGTGCCATAGCCCAGAATTGGTACACACTGTTTAAGGACCTGGTACACATGATCAGTTCAGGCTATTTGGATTTGTTGAAACGGGGTTAGGGGATTTAGAATTACAATGAACCTCTTCTCTTTTCTATCTTTTCTATCGGCATTCCCTTGAAGATCCCACTGACTTCACATTTTGCTTAGCCAGAACCATATTTGTAGCTGTAGGAATCTTTCAACTAAAAAAATACTTTTGGAAACGGGGAGGTAATTTGAATGATGAAAACAAATTTATGTCTTCTAAAATGTATTAAAAAGATTCTGTCACACATTTGCTTTATTCCTAAGGCATTTGTTTGTGGGCAGAGTGTTTGCTCAGATTACTTTCATTCTGGAATGATGGTCTGTTTTCACCTTCTGGGCTGTATCCAATGAGAATTTTTCACTAATAAAAATGTTATGAGCCATCTGATTTTAGCCAATTTCTTCTCTTCCACCTCCTCTTCAAGTGCACCTCCTCTTCATACAACATCCTACATTGTTGTAAAGAGTGAATCAATTCTTGTGAACAAGTTTTGAGGGGGCTGCAATGAGTATGGGTATTGGCAATAATTGAGTACTTCACTTGTATGAGCAATATGTTTTCAGAGTAACTGCATATATTGCCTTGGGAGCCTTATTTCTAACTAAAGGTTGTTTCAGTTTATATATTTTGAATTAAAAAACACCGTCTGTTCAGATGTTAACAAGAGCACTGTGATTATCTTTTTATGAATAATAAAATTTACAGTAGTGACACATTATGTTCGAGGGAAGTCTGTGCCCAATATATTTCTTATTTTTAATACTACTACCTGTAAGTTAAAACACCTGAATGTAAGTGGAAGATCATGTGAACTAGAATAAGAATATAGCTTGTGAACAGGAATACATCTTTCAGTACGGCATATACAGATATTTAAACTTAGATCCATTTAAGCCCTTAAAATCTTAAAGATTGCTCACCTTTTCAGTAAGCTTCCTTTAAAAAACAACTAGCCCTACCCTGTTTCCCCCCAAAAAAGACATCCCTTCATAATAAGCCCAATCGGGCTTTTGAGTGCATGGCAATAAGGCCAAGCACTTATTTCAGGATTCAAAAAAAATATAAGGCAGGGTCTTATTTTCGGGGAAACACCTTAGATATATAAATTATTCAATCTCTGGCAGCTTCAATCCTATAACTGCCACTTGTCAATTTCATACATATGAGTTTTGTCTGTATTTAGCATTGATTTGATTCTTAGTCATCCCAGTACATAAATCTGCCATGATAATGTGCATGCTATATATATTTTGACATACCTCAAGCTGGATAGATTCCTATTGCAATGTACACATTTTAGCCGCATCATATTTCTAAATTATTATGTGTGTGTTAAAACTAAGACAATATAGTGCTGTTTTTCTAAATATTTTAATCTCTGAATTAAACAGTGTTATCTGTTGTTGTTTTTTTTTACTTGCTGAGTTTTTCTTTGCTGCTGATTTATCAAAATAGTTTCATTTTCTGGAAGGTAGAATGATTTTCAGGTTCTGCATTCTTGTATTAACAATTGAGCAGCTGATCATGCCTTTTAAAATGATTGACATTTGTGTCTATGGCAAATAGGCTTTTTTCAGTCAGTTAATTAAATGTATTTCAAAAACTTTTATAAGAAATATTTGAGGCTTGTTCATTGAACAAAATATTGATGCAACTTCAGTAATTACTATACAATCATTTTATAATATTTTCATGCATATTTTCCTATGCCACTCTTGATTGTTTGTAAGCAAAGAGCTCTGTCTAATCTTATATGTAGAAATAAATTATTTTCATTTATCATTTGTTCATTTACAGTTCAAGAATTTAGGAAGTGTCCCTTCTGAGACATTTGCTTCTGCGTAGTCAGCTGCCACTTACCTGACCATTGTCTAGTTTGTGGCTCTTCCTTTGGTCTCCCAAGGTTATTCACACATACCATAACATCCATGTTCCCCTTACCTTACATGAGGTAAGTTCTTAAGCAAGCCCTCTCTAAATGGAAAAAATATTGCAGACAAGAAGTGCCTAGTTTTTGAAAAAAAAGTTGCTTAAGCAGAAGTTTCAGCAGTACATTCTCAATCAATATTATAATGAATCTTTCTGTATTTGATTTATAAAAAGTGTTATTGTTATTAATTCAACTTAGATGCCATCCAACTCCATGTTCATCTCACAGCATAAAAACAAAGCAAATCTACAATAAAAAATATAAAACGATAAGCAAAATGGTTAGTGATAACAAAATATAAGCTAACAAAGGGTTCCAACTACTCTAGTCCAGAGAACATTATAATACAATATGGTGATAACTCAATCTAAAATCATTGAAACTTTTGGGTAGAACTGAGCTCTTGTATAAGCTGCTCTGGTGGAAGGAAGTGTTAGGTTCCTAAATCATCTATGTGCAAATATGAATAACCCTGTGGTCAAATTCATATTTTGTCCAAACAGAACATCTAGGAAGTGGATAAAAGATAACTTTCAATAAATATTGTATCTTTCGTGTCCAAAGAAGTAAGCAAGTTGTTTCTTTAACTACCCGGCTGGTTTTCTTTAAGATAAGTCAGCTTTTCTGACACCTATCATCTTCCAACAGTCATTCCATTTACAAAGGCTCGTCATTATACTTTGTCCCCACTTTTTAATTCAAGCATAAGATCAAATTAAGTGATTAATATTATTTGTAACAAAAACATGAAGACTGAAAAATGTTTGAATGAAATACTTTGTAAAGCACATTGAGATGCCTGATGCATCTCTTCTCAAGGCATTAAAGGAGCTGTAACACAATTACTTTGAAAGTTTCCCCCCGTTATCTGCATATATACTTGTCCCCATGACATTTCCCCCAAGTTACACCAGCAAAGTTCAGTAGCTCTTAAGAGTTGCATTGTTTTTAATTCCAGATTCATTAAGCAATGATGCTTTTTTCTGTGTAAAGCAAAAGCCCAGAGGTGGAAGGGAGACAGGAATGATCTTCAGCGATAGCAGAGTTACTGATCTTAGGTGAAATGTAAAGCACCTCTTCCAGATCATTTTTATCCAAGCATGCAACACATCAGATTTCATTTAGAAAAGGTAGTCTGTTTGAGCCCCTACACAATTTCTTTGTTGTGTATCTTTTTGGAACTGAATTTGAAGCATTGTGTAGGGCTAATATACACACTCCAGACATCCGGGGAAAACCTTGCTACCATAGATTTATGCTACTTAATATCTAAAGGAATACTATGTTCCTTTAATATATTTTGTGAAGTATTTCTTTCAAAGACTTTGCACTGTGGGAACAGAAACTAAATTTGAAACATACTATATAAATAAGAAAGGGTGCCAGACACTTTCAATATTTCCCACTTTATTGGTGTGAAAACAGTTTAAATGTCATATTGCCATGCTCTGAATTGCTCTTCCCCAGCAAATTAATCAGAAATGAAAACTTTAATAATATTGCTCTTTAGCTCCGAGACAGAGAAGATACTTCATTATAAACAAAATCTTTGCTCTCTATTAATAACACCCGTGCTGTAAAAGTGAGGACAATAATCTTTCTGTTTAAAAAGCCAATGAAATAGTGTAACTTCTTAACATAATTTAGGAAATCTGAAATACAGGTTTTAGAGCTTTTAAAGGAAGGAAAAGCATTACTAAGAATAGAATAGAATAGAATAGAATAGAATAGAATAGAATAGAATAGAATAGAATAGAATTCTTTATTTCCCAAGTGTGATTGGTTCATAAGCTCTCAGTATACATACAAGCAATAAGCGTTCATAAATCTTTTCCTGCCAACAACAAAAACAAAAATATTGCATTTTATTGAGCATAAATAAAAGCATCTTTTTGATAAATAAAATATAAGTATTGAAAAAAGGACTTTCTAGTTAAATGTTACCCTTCAAGATATCCATATACAGAATAATATTATAATAAAAATGTTTTTGGATTGTTATGCTACACCAGAATTTCTCATGCTTTTTCTTGTTTAAAAACAATAAGTTAATTTGAGTAATTGCTACTGTAGAATATGCTCAGTAAGATGCAGATAATACATTGAAGGAGAAAAGAATTTTCTTTACTTCTGGTTCTATTAAATCTTTTTGACAATTGCATGCTGCCTCATATTCTAATAGCATTGTCTCTTTGCATTGATGCATTCTCCAGCGTGCTGCTTGGAGAATCCAAATTATGGGAAGTTCCTCAGTCTGATTGCTTGACTGGGTGAATGTTTCTTTAAGAAACGTCCTTGGCCACTCCTCCCCTGCTTGGCTAAGCTCCAGTTCATTCACTCAGTCAAGCAAGAGACTGGGTTTTTCCTTGGCTCTAGCAATTAGCTGAAGAACTTCCTATTTGGATTTTTTTCCAATTATTCTTCTTGATTCTGAGCGGTGTGGATTAACTGTCTATGATCTGCTATTTGTCGGACTGTCTGATCTCTGTATTGCGGCGGAGGGTGAGTTAGACCTGGGTCTCTTTCCAGGGGGGCTCCCCTCCGTTTGCTAGACTTGCTTTATTCCTCGGAGCACTACCATCCAGGCAACTCTGAGTGATTTAAAATCGCCGCCGGCGCTGCGTTGGGATCCGGATTGCCGGAACTCCCACCTCCGCCTTCCACACCGCTCCAACTTTAAAGTGGCGGCAGGGGGTCCCTACATCGCTTCCGCAAACCCCTACAGCATTGCTTCGCCCTTTTTCGGCCAAATCAACAGGCTGGGAGGCTAGTTCGGGCGATCATACTCTTGGCCTTCGGTTACTGTCATTGGCCTCCAGTTAACGGCGCTCGGCAGCTAATCCGAGCCGCGCGCCTTTTTGCCTTGATTGACAGCTCCCCTCAGCAATTATTTCAACGGCGCTCGGCGGCTGCATTCGGGCCGCGCGCCATTTTGA